ATTTTGTGATATTTAGAGCAAAGCAAAAACACCTACAAGCAATCTTGAAAGAATTGATGTTCCCCTACAGGGTTTGAACTTGTTTCATCTAGTTTTAGAGTTTGCAACGTTACCATATAGATAGATAGATATTCATGTTCAGATTGACCACCGAATGTAACATTCAAGTACCTCTTCATTATCAATAATTAAATTAGAATTCAGTGACCGAACACAAAGTACACTAAGTATATTACTTATACCTTTGTTGTTTGTGATTACGTAATGTGTTGTATCGCATAAATGGAGTATGCTTAACAACTGGAACCTATCAAATATAATAGACTTATAGTGTATAACGTGAAGAGACGATGAATACATGAACGACTGTATATACAGATAATTATGAAGACCGTTAAAATTTGCAATGTTACATCATGGACTGATATGTAATAAGACAATTAAGAGAACCAAGAAAACATTGGTCAACTGTTTCGTTTAAGCAAGGGAACATCCTAACAGTTCACATCTGTGATCGATGGGAATGAAACACAAGACTTGCAGGCATCGTGAACAGTGTTTATCATTCAACGATTTCTATCTTTAATTGCAATCGATTCGTGATATTACACAACTATTATTCATCACCATTAATTGTATTTATCTCATGTTCAAACCGATCAACAATAAGATAGCTTAATGGATAACGCGATGATGTTTGAAGCCAAAGGTACTAGGTTCGAGTCCCGGAGCGAATATTAACCTTGAAAAGAAGGCCCATCAAGGTGATGAGTCCACTTCTGTTAAATATGAGTTTTAGTTGTAAGTGTTTACTATGTTCCTTAAATTGCACTCAAATTTAAGCGTAATAAGTAAAGACAAGGGGGGGGGGGGACATAATCGAAACAACGGTGCAAACAACGACAGGTTTAAGGACAATAGCGACCAATCAAGACCAAGGTAAACAGAACAGGCTACAAGTCATTCTACGTGGAGAAATTGAAATACTTCACTTCTATCTGAAGTCAATGCTGATGATGTTGTTTAGTAGAAGAACAATCAAAGCTCCACAATCAAAACATCCAGCTCAAAGAGCGAAACATCTCCACAATCATCCTCCTGACCTGAATATTTTCTCCACCATCTCAAGACATATAAATATAAAAATTTAACAATAATATGCCCAATATATTATCATTTTTATCTTTTTAAACAGAAAATAGAATAAAGTCAATGTCAGACAGTATAAACCTTCCGTGGTTCGACGACTAGATATGAATTTTCGAATTCCTGTAAAATACATTTTCGTTGATTAAATTAGGCCCAAAGGAACTGTCGAAATAGTAACATATATGAGGATATTTTTCCTTATTTCGTACTTAACACAGAAAAGTACAAGTAGACTAATTACGCAATCATAGCGAGTAAAAATGACAATAACAATCAAAATATATGGTTGTGAAGTGGGGGGAAATGGGTATTTTGAAGATGATTAATGAGGACTCGTCACGCACACATACAAAAAAAACACGAAAGAAAATAATGACATTCATAGAAATCAACGCGGATACAGAAGGCTTGATCGGCTTATGCCTAACTGTGTTACCTATAGCCTAGGTGAGATATCCGCTTGCTAACCAAAGGACGAGTTAACCGTGCAGCAGTTCGCTCCGTCCTACTATATGGATGCCAATCATAGCTTTTAGGAGTAGAGGACTTTCATAGGTTACTGGTTTGCGATCACAGGTGTCTTCGAAGCATTGCTCTTATATCCTGGGACAAGCGAATGAGCAACGCTGTTATTAGGAAATGGGTGCTAGGTAAGGATGTCAGGTCAATAGATGAAGTATTGAAACATCATCAGTTGGTTGAGGTGATTGGGACATGTGTTACGAATGTCCGACCACCAACTGCCTCGTTGAGGTATATAATGCGGTGTAGGAATAGGTTGGACGAAATCAAGGGGCGGTCAAACCAAAACATGACAGAAATCAATGAAGTCACTGACGAGTGGACTGAGTCATATCGGTAGATGTCGACTACGTGGTTCGGACCTGCATGATGATAGTAACCAATGTTTCGAGACCTTGAGTGACATAGCTCAAAATCGTTTGCAATGGCGCATGTGCATCCATTCTTTGTGTTCTCTTAAATCCTACTCTTCTGAATTCCTCTTTACCGTTTTCTTTTTTTTATTCGATTCCTCTGGGGTATGTCAGTCAGTCAGATGCAACGTAGAACTTTGTACATAAGTACATCAGTTCATGTTGCCATACCACATCAGCACAGAGAAGTAATCGTCAATTCAAATCCAATAGTAGAAGAGGTAGTAAGGGAATTAGAAATAATCGGAGAGGTTAGGATTAGAAGATACTACTCAAGAAGTATGATTCAGTGAGAAAAGTTTAGAGAGTCGCAACTAGAGGGGTTGAAGAATCCAGAAGATTAGCATTTGAGAGAACACAGAGAATAAATGCACTGGCGCCATTGCGAACGATTTTGAGCCATGTCATTCAAGGTCTCTAACCATCGATTATTATCATCTCGCGGACCCCAACCAGGTAGTCGACAATTACCGACATGGCCAAGTCCACTTGTCAGTGACTTCATGGATTTCTGCCATGTTTTGGTTTGGCCGCCCCTAACTTTCTTCCAACCTATTCCCACACTACAAAACAAGGCTCGACGAGGCAGCCGGTGGTTAGGCATACGCAACAGATGTCCCAACCACCTCAACTGGTGAAGTTTCAATACTTCATCGATTGATCTGCCATTCTTACCTAGCACCCGATTCCTAATAACAGCGTTGCTCACTCGGGTGTCCCACGATATACGAGCAATGCTTCGAAGACATCGATGATCGAAAACCAGTAACCGACGAATATCTTCTACTCTCACTGGCCATGTTTCGCAGCCATGAAGTAAGACGGAGCGAACTACTGCGCAGTACACTCGTCCTTTAGTCAGCAAACGGATATCTCGCCTACGCCATAAGTGACGCAGGTTGGCAAAAGCCAATCGAGCCTTCTGTATCCGTGCTGAGATTTCGTCAGTCACCAGGCCATCGGCACTGATGAGACTCCCAAGATAAGTGAAGCGGTCTACACGTTCGACTACTTCACTCCCTATCACTAGTTCAGGTGCCGATGCAACCCAGTCTTGCAGCAACATTTTGCATTTCGAGGGGGAAAACCGCATCCCGAACATGCTTGCATTGTTGCTTAGGGTAGTCAGAAGACTCTGCATTTTGTCAGCGTCTTCACCAAGTAGGATAATGTCATCGGCATATTCTAAGTCAATAAGCGAGCCACCTGGAAGAAGGTCTACTCCTGAAAATTCAGACGAGGACAGGGTTATTTCTAGGAGCATGTCTATGATAAAATTAAACAAGAATGGAGAAAGTGGACATCCCTGACGGACACCACTTGATGTAGAGAATTCCGGTGACAGTTCGCCATAAGCCCTCACCCGACCAGTGGTGTTTGAGTAAAGAGCTTGTATAAGGTTAATGTACTTCTGTGGTACACCTTTCAATGACAGACACTGCCACAGAACCTTACGATCAACAGAGTCAAATGCCGCCTTAAGGTCTAGGAAAACAACTATTTTAGGACGCCTCAATGTGTGTCTATGTTCCAGGACCTGTCTGAGTGTGAAGACGTGGTCTATACAACCACGTCCAGGTCGAAAACCAGCCTGGTTTTCTCGAGTCTGCTCTTCGCGAGCTCTAGTTAGACGTCTAAGTATAATCGAGGCTAACAATTTAGAAACTATATTAGTTAAACTTATTCCTCTGTGATTGTCACAAGAGGACTTCTGTCCTTTCTTGTAGATTGGGACAATTAGCGACTGAGACCAGTCAGATGGGATTACGTCCAGTTCCCAGATTTTACCTAAGATCTCAGTCCATCTAGCAGATAAAACTGGACCACCATCCCTGAATATCTCAGGGGTCAGTCTATCAGGACCTGCAGCTCGTCCTCGTTTCAGATTTCCTAACGCTTTCTCAACTTCACAAATACTAGGGGGACTTACGTCGATTTGCCATTCAGGATGACTGGAGATCGTGGGTAACTGAAGAGTGGCTCGTGGCCAGTTGAACTGATCCCTAAAGTGTTCTGGCCATCGATCCAGTCTCCTGGATTGAGAATGGATAATAAGACCATCCTTTTCCGAGATAGTCTCACTCACATTCGGGTTCTTAATACCGGTTTCTTTGATAAGGCGGAAAAGTTGTCTAGTGTTGCCTATCGCCGCTGCCTTTTCCATCGCTTTTGCTTTCGCCACCCACCACTGTTCACGGTCGTTACGCAGACTTTTTATAAGTCTGCGCCTAAGCTGACTACGCTCTTCATCATGCTCAGAGTCAGGTGGGATGCGTTTTCGAGCATCCATCAGTTGGGTGGATGCGACTGAAATCCACGGCTTCATCCTAGCCTCATGGTTTACCTTCCTAGCAGATATCACTGCTGTTTCCACAGCCTTTTTGATACCATACCAACCTGCTTCTGGATGGGAATCGTTTGCATGGTTGCTTAACTCTCTTTCTAGTTGCTCCTGAAATATTTTCTTGGTTTGATTATCATTCAGTAAAACCCTAAGAGGCTTTCTTACGGTGTCTTTCCTACGTCCAGCAAGCCTTAAGCAGATACGAGCTCGCACTAGAGCATGATCTGAATCCAAACATGTGCTCCAGAACGAGCGACAGTCTTCTATCGAACCCCTCCATCGGTGGCTGATGGCGATGTGATCAATGGCGATGTGATGGGGTATGTGTACATCTTGAATGATATATTCAATCATTAATCTTTTCGATTACTGCTAATATGGAATTTAAACTAACAATTGCGTCTCTGTGCTGATGTACATAGATACGAAGTTCTACATTGTAACCGACTGACTGAACCCACTAGTAAACAATTACGAGTTAGGCACAGACTAAAAAATACTCAACTTAAATTAACAACAAAAGATAAGTAAGTATAAAACAAGCACAACTTTACAACAGAAAAAAAAACTAACTAACTAATACTTACTGAAAATGATGAATCAATCATATTCAAACTACTTCCACTAGGTATTCTACTTAAAAATGGATTAGGTGATGGTAATGACTTGTAAGTATCTTCATAGTCAGCACGTAATGATTCCATCGTGTATTGTTGTTCAGTGAATTCATCATCATCCTCAACATCCTCAACATCATCATATATTGACATAGTGTATGGTGGTTGACCATTATGATCGGAGGAATCAACCAACACCAGATCGTTGTCACTTCCCTCTTGTTCTTCTTCATTATCATGCCATAATTTCTTGTGTAAACTAGGACTACCTCTTGGTGTAGCAATTTCCACATGAACACTATCATCACCATGCGTAGTAGTAGTAGTAGTCATCAGTATGGTAGATTGTTTATGAGGATTGCTGCTGGCTGCCGTAGTCACAGAAGCCAATGTCTCATGACTACGAATAATCACTGGTGGAATACCTTGAGCCATTAATGTATCATCCATGTCAAGTATGTAAGTACCTGCATGACTTGGTGTTAAACTAGTTAATGATGCACCAATCTGATTGGAATTCATTAAATTATCAATTGATTTATTATTATTAGTAGTATTTTCAATTTCAGTAAGGCATACATTTGAACTAGCCATAGTAATAGTGGTAGTTGTAGTAGTAGTGGTAGTGGGAATACATGAAGAATTTTCATTTAATGAATTGATTTTTGTTAAATCAGTGGTAGAGTTGGCATTAGTGAATTGTTTCGCATGAGAATTTGGTTGTATCACTTCGGTTAATGTTTGTAAATTGTCGATTGAAGATGACATGGAATTCTTGAGATAATAAAAGGAAAAACAAAAATAAACGAAATAATTAATCAATTAATTCATGAGAATTTCTTCTTTTATGTTTTTTGCGGCATGTACATTAAATTCCTGGTATCAAGTGTGTGCGTGTGTGTGTGTGTGTGTCATGGGGGTGAGAGAAAAAACACAATTTCATATTTTTTTTTATTAGAGTTATGGAGATTAGCGTTTTTTGCACATTGAAATCATCGATCGATCATTGTTAGACAACCATTAGAAACCCACAAGACGGTCGTTTTGTCCTGGTGTGGGACTCATCAGTGGCAGTGTGAATCTACGACTCCTGCACCTCGCAAGATTAGAACCCATGATCTACAGGCCTGCTCGCGCACGCCTAGCATCTGGATCACTAGGCCGGCATTCAACGGTGTTAATGTCTAACTCTGATCAATCTACAGATTTTTGTGAAACATCACCCATTTATCTTTGGTAGTTACTGCCTACACTTGACAGGTTTGAACTCCACTGGTCACGTCTTGCGCGCGCAAGACCCAAGGTCCTGGGTTCGAATCCTGTGAGGTGCAGGAGTCGTGGATGCGCACTGTTGATGAGTCCCATACCAGGACGAAACGGCCGTCCAGTGCTTCCAGGTTTCTAATGGTGGTCTAACAATGATTGACAGATAATTTCAATGTGCGAAAAATTTCGCATTATAACAATAATGATAAACTGACAAATATTTTCTGTTTTTTCATGATAGGGTAGTGGGAATTATTGAGTTACTTTTTGAAAGCGCAAATCGATCAATGCTAGATCTCCATTTAAAACCTGGAAGCACTGGACGACCGTTTCGTCCTGGTAAGGGACTCAATAGAAGCGGACATTCACGGCCCGAGCAACCCGCAGGATTCCAAAATCAGGACATTTGGTCTTGGGCGCGAAAGCTTAACCTCAGGACAACTGATCTGGTATCTAATGGTGTTAATGTATAACTTCGATCAATCCACCGTCTTGCGCAACCTCATTCACTGTCTTCGGTGAGCACTGCTTCACACCCGAACAGGGTTGAATTGCACTGGTCACGAATTCTCACCAGAACTCGGAGAAACTTCGTATGGAAATTTAAAGCATTAGTTCTAATGATACACCATGACCAATGGAGTTTAATCGGGTTGAATGCCAGGAAGTTACTCACCGAATACAATCTGTGAAATTTTGTAAGGCTTTAGATTGATGAAAAGTTACACATTAACACCGTTGGATACCAGGTCAGTGATCTAGAATTTAAGCGTTCGTGCACGGGACCGAATGTCATGGGTTCGATTAGAATAAAGAGATTAAATTGCTAGTTCAAACCTCAAAGAAAAAAAACATAGTGTTAGCATGTTCATCAAATATCCTAAGAGAATTATTGTTAAGTCTAATTCTATTGCTCAATTCCCAATTGGTCGTCCTAACTGTCTATGTCGCATACTTCATATGTTGTTTCCTATTCGATCTAACTGCATAAATATGCATTTTCTGTAACGATTTATGGTCCGGATC